ATGTGCGATTTCAACGCAGACTCTCCCATGTTTGAAATGTCGATCATTCGATCGCAGCATTTGCAGAAGGCCTTTTTCCTGTCAGCTTTAAACGCAGTCAACCAGCCTTTGTACTTGGAATTAAGTTCCCACTGCCGATTGTAAATGCAGTCTCCTCTTTTACCTTTTGAATTCATTTAAGACACAATAAACAGGACCAGAGTCGAATAAATTTTACACTTTCTGATTTGAGCTACATTTGCCTCGTGGTTTAATTTGCTTAGAGGGGGGCTGTACAACGGTCGTTTTGAAAACGAAGCACTCGAAAACGAAGACCGAAGCACGAAGCACCCAGAACTCAAAAACGAAGACCCCTAAATCTCGAAAACGGAGCACCCAAAACTCGAAAACGAAGACCCCAAAACTCGAAAACGAAGACCCCTAAATCTTTTTCGAGATAGGGTGCTTCGTTTTCGAGATTTGGGTGCTTCGTTTCGTTTCGTTTTCATGCTTCGGTCTTCGTTTTCGAGTGCTTCAGTTTCGAAACTACCGCTGTACAATACACCTAGGAAACCCCATTGAAGGTGCGGTTACTTAGATACTTTGAATAAGAACCACTGAATTGTCCTGCTATAAAAAGCTTCGCCGTTTTTGAGACGATAAATGAGTTTCTCAACTGAAGTTAGATGTTAACGCAAAATTTTCAGTCTTTTGATGTCAAAATTAACTTATTTTGCTGTATCCTCAAGTATTTTGCTCATAAAACGGGCCATTAAGTCAAGTTTACTTGGCAGGCTGGTTAAGGAAAGTGACCTCCCAAATTAAAGGACACACAATTATTGTGGGAGGTAAGAAGTGAAAGCAGTCTAAGAGAATAAATGGTTTAAATTTACTCCAAAAATGGATGGTATTCAGGATCCTGTGATAACAATACAATTGACAACCTCTTAATTTTACCTTTATTTATTGACAATAGTTTATAATAATGACGTGGTCATAAGACAATAATTACATTTCCCAACAGTTTTTTTTGGTTTTTGTGCATTAATTATACCTTCTTTCACAATATAATTAGAACATTTACATAACATGCTTGAGTGCTTCTTTCATGTTTAGCAATAAACAAATAGCATCCACAACTTGATGCTTGCATGATGAATATTTCCATTTTGTTAAATTTAGTCATAGTTTGAACAGGTGATCAGCTTTGAAAGGTCATGGTATTCGTTTCATTATGCTGGCCCGGGTTGTTCAAACGTTGGACTGTGCTATCCACCGGATAAAAAATCTATCCAGTGGATAGTATAATTGGTTTCCCATTTAGTTATCCACTGAAAGGTGATTTATCGAGTGGATAGTGCTATGCAACATTTGAACAACCAGGGCCTGTTAAATAATAAATGAGAAGGATCTAATGTGTCTTTCTTGTTTAGAACAATACTTCTTAACTTGAATAGTTTTAACCAATTGGTAGGATAACTCCTCATGTTTCAATACAAACATCCTCGAGAACAACAAAGATGTTGACACAATATAATGTAGAATGAAATCTAAACAGTATCTAGATTTCTTTTAATACTTTTTCAACAGGTTTTCCACAATTTAGCCCCCAAAATGCTGAAACCTTAACATAATTTTGTGGAACTTGAAGATTTCACATGTCATTAAGTTGCATTATTAGTGTGCAGCAGATGGCCAGCTTTGCCCTCTTTAAATAACAAGTAAAAGGGTTCTTATGTAAATAAAATTTTTGCATGGAAATTATATTTATTTGATTGTTGTATGCTTGCCACTTTCTAGAGGAACCAAAAGTGTAATTCTTTTCACGAGTGTGCCATATGGGCACTTGACAATCTAAGTGGAGCGTAAGAGGGTATTATTCATCCCTTCATTATTCACCATTTTTTGCTCACAGCTATTTTCACAGGGATTTTCAGGTGGCGCTTCTTAAGAAATTTTCTCAAACTTTGTTCATAGGTTTTTTCACAGGGTTTTTCACAGGCTTATTTTAGTCAGGTTATTTCCCATATTTTTCACAGCACTTTCACATGTTTTTATCCAATAGTATTTACTGACTATCCGGCTTGAGAATGTAATTCTGGATGGGCTGCATTTGATGCTTAGAATTACAGGCAAGTCATATAAGGGACCTTTAGCATCAGGTTTTTCGTGGGAAACGGCAAACCGCAAACCGCAAAATGTCACGTGACCACGGCCTTGCGGTCACGTTTGCACTTTGCAGTTCACGTTTGAACCGCAGGAAGGGCTTCCAGCGGTAATGCACTAGTCATTTGTTTCCCCCGCTCCCCCACCCCCGCGACATAGCGGGGGAATTTGCAAACAAGCGATGCTAATTATGGGGAATTCCACCACCCACCAGGGCAGAATTTCTTTGCAAAACCACCAC